TATCTAATAGCCAAAAAAAAAAGTAGTAGAAAGCTATAGGCTTGTCATACAATGACACCTGCCATTGACCATCCCTAAAGTACATAAGGCATTTCGGGAGCATCAGGGGAAGGAAAGAGGATCCTTCCCCAATTCTCAGTAGTATCAAACAAAACTTACATAAAATTGGAAGGATTAGGAATGATCAAGTGGCCTAAACGATGGGTGGAAAGAGAGAAACAGAGAAACCCGACAGTACACGCTTACATAGTCGATCCAGCAACACATGCTTAGATAGCTTTCTTCATCTTTTTCATTCACAACGCAATAGACATTTCAAAAGGTAAACTAATCACTATAAACCCAAGCATATAAACTTCAAGGAGGGGTGTGTTTGCGTGCGCACATAGCTTTCCCCATCCGCAAGCCTCTCCCAAAATACACATCAGCCTACTGCACTGAAATTGTTGGGGGAAAAAAAAAAAATCTGATTTTAAGGAGTTTAGATTATTAATTATTTTGCTTTATTGACTTTAAACAGCAATCACTATGTTAAAAAACAATACAAATTTAGCATGAAAGAAGAGCTGTCAAGTAAGATTTTTAGTGTAGCTTTGGTTTTGTTCTCCAAAATTAGTACGAGTAGACTGTTTTCCACAAGACAGCTATCAAAATAGAAGTTCACTAAACAAAGAACACTTTCATCATTTTAGAAGAATCTGAAAAAAACCAAGATTCTTTGCAGTGTAAGAGAAAGCAGAAGTCCCAGCAATGCAGTTGAGGTGACACACAATAAAGAAAACAAAGACAAATTACTTGTTCTCAGTTTATCTTTTAAAAGAAAATAAAAAAGTAACAGCAGCATCTCCAAGAGCAGATCGAGAGGGGGGAAAAAAAAAAAAAAAGTAGGATTGGTCAGATCTCCTTGCATTTCAGCTGTTGAAGAGGTAATGCAGCACACCTTTGAAACAGTATGTTTGAGATCTGTTAAGTAATTATTCAGATGCATTAAAATCGACACAGCTAATGAATCACAGGCTTCTGTATATCCTTTTGGAGAAAAAATATCGCCCTTCTTCTGCAGAGTAATGACAAGTGTCCTAGTTAATCCCTTATAACACAGCCAGTCAGTTCTACCCTGACACACAAACATTATTCCAAGCCAGTCTGTTATACAGGAGATATTTTAGATGAAATCATTTAAAGCGTGTTTCGCTAAAGAGAAAAGAAACAGCTACTAATACCCTTAGCTCAAAATTTTCCTGGTTTTTTAGGTTGCACAGGACCAGAAATTGTGTAAAGCAGCTGGACTGAAAAACAACATTCTGCTCAGAAGACAAAGCGGCCTGCAGCATAGCTGCAGTGCGTTCTGATGGTATGGCTGAAACAGAGATGCTATTTTACAATGACAACTATTTCACCATGACATTGCCACACTAGCTATTTTCAGTAACACAGAGAACAGCAGTGAAAGTATGGCAGCACAGGTACTATACGAACAGTCTAACAGAAAAATTTGAAGGGGAAAAAAAAAAACAAAACCAGAAAAACCTTACTGACTTCTGCCCAGGTTACTAACTTGTACTGCCATTGCTATTATTCATTGCTAGCGAGATTATTATCAGACAACTTCATTTTGCAGGTAGACATTCTGTAGTCGGTAAATCTTGTTACTATATTAGGAATTCTTCTTAGAAGATTGTTCTTAGTTTTCTCCACTGATCTTACTGTCCTGGAGACCTGTCCTTCATCTACAAAGATTATGGTAAGAGAAAAATGACTGTCCCATCTCATTTTGAACCGAGTTTTTCGCCTCAGTATGACAAATTCACTAGCTTTTCTTTAATAATACACCACAATCTTCAAGAAGTGAAGAAGAATCCTACCATATTCTGATCCAAGTCAGATTAGTCCCTTTACATGGAAATATAGCCTCAAACATTGTTTAAGTTTATTCCCATCCTTAAACATAAGATATGTCTTTCACCTGTTCCATCTCTAGCTGAGACATATTTCAAACATGTCATCAACTCACTGTGGTATGGAGACCCTTCTCAGTAGGGCAACAAGGCAACATGATCATCTTACTTGACAGGAGCAGATGGCTGCAGAGAAGATTTCTCCAGAAATCACTTCAGATATATTGAGAGGGATGAATTCAAGCTGGCACTGAAGTTTAACCTCAGTGTTCTAGAAGCTACCCAGCTTTGCTGATCATTAGTGCAAAAGCATTTCATGATACAACCAATTTGCTTTCTGAACTGCCAAGATACAAAAATTAAACTTCAGATTGTCACTGGACACATAGATGTTTGTTTTTATTCCCAAATCTCTTATATTTTGCCATGAAATATGAAGTTACTTAACTAACACGTGAATGCTATGTTTTGGAGAGGGTTTCAGAAACTCATGGTATCTATCATATGTACACTATTGGTTTTAATTCACTGGCCATCTGTTTTGACTAATATTAAAAAGATATATACATTTTAGAGCTGAAATGGAGCGTTTCCCCTGTTGTTCTTCCAGTTGTCCACATGCTATTATTAAGAAAGTGTGATTAAGAACAATCAAACTCATTTGTGCTATATTTGAATCCAGGTAGCTAGCTTTACAGAAGTGCACTGTTATCACTTTTATGTTACTAATTTTTTTTCCTCCAGTATCTCTGCAGATATTATTATCGTATTTACTGCTCCTACAAAGCCAGTATTTGTTTAGAACTACTGAGTACATGGGGGTATAAATTTTCATGGGGCAGCTCACTTTTCAGATATTGTGGTTTATTGCTTGCAAAACGCAGCAGTTAAGCTACGGCAAGGGCTTCGAGGCAAGCATTACCAGCTCTCTCCTGGGGCGTATTTTTTGAGGTGAACCAATAGTGAATTTTGTCTCCACTAGGTGGCACTGTAAGCAGGCACAAATTGCTTATGTGTTTGCAGGGAATCTAATTACAGCAACCATTAAGGTTTTTTTTTTTTTTTTTTTAAAATGAATCTTTAAAAAGTCTTGAAAAAAGCTACACATTCCTTATGCATAGGTGCTTACTAGGAAAACAGTGCCAGTTACTGAACTAGCACTGCCTATATTCCAACCACTCCAGCCATGCTACTAAACATTTCGTTTCAAAGACAACATGTAAGTGAAGCAGAAGTTGTAACACACATGAACGTTTTCTCTAGTGTTTTTACTGTGGTTTAATCTTTAATTACAGGAATAACACCAGGCTTTAGAATGTGTCGCTATCTGGACGCATGCTAATTGAGCGCTATTTGGAACAGATCTACAACGCACTAGAATTATCATATCACATCATCACTGAGAAATTGTAGAAGATTATTGCTTACTGCAGAGTAAAGGAAGATTTCTAAAAAAAGAAATAAAACAAGAAAATAAATACAAACTAGCTATAGAGCTGTGCCAGAAGCTAGGAAAACACACAATCAGTTATGCTGAAGAGAATTCAGTGCTGCCATGCCTGAAGTGCTTTCCATATCTGGTATAGCAATTCACTGCTAATTTAAGTTAGCAAGACTGCAGCTATACCTTTGAAGGCAGCACAGAAGCACTTTTGAAATAACTGGCTGAGACATGAGAAAGCAGGGCTTGAATTCATATGTGAGAGGCTGGAACACACTATACAGTTAACTGATGCCATATTCAGTCCGCAGAGGCGGTAAAGGTTGTTTTCCCTCGCTTCCTCACAATAAGTCATTCTGCACAGGGCTCTACACCACTGTAGACTGACTTCTAAGAATCTAAATCAGCTCATTTAAACAAGCTTGAGTATTCACCATAGCACAGACAAAGCCTCATATTTTTAGGAGCCTAAATTTTGTCTAAGTTATCATTTAAAAACAAACAAACCAACCCACTAGTTTATCTAAAGCCAAAACAAAGAACATACTAAGTGATCTTAGACAAGCACAGACACAAGAGATGGAACCGGACACAAATACACATTTTACACTGAAGTTAAACCTCCAAATACATTGACTTCTTTTTCGAGTTGAAGCATAATAATTTTAGGATACAATATTTGCAGGCATTCTTGAGAGAAAAAACAAAACAACAACAACAAAAAAAAGGAGATGTTCTGGCCCCAAAACAAAGTACTGATGAAGATATAGCACCTTATTTAAGTTTGGATGAAACATACCTGATCTTGCATTTGTAATGAAGTTGCTTGTTCTGAGGCCTCTGTGCTGTCTGGCTTTGGGGGATTTGCATTTTGTTGCATTCCAGAACTTGATACAATACTCAAGTCGCTGACCTGATTCTAAAAAAAAAAAAAAAAAACACAAATAAATTATTACAAATACATAAGTTTTCTAGCCTATGTTTAGCCACCACTACAATTCTGTTATGTGGTACTTCAACTGAAATATAGAAGATGTACTGATTTTTCAGAGACACTGGGGAATTCACAAACTTTAGGAATTAAAATCATACCAAGACATCCACCATCAGGTGTGTGCTCATAATGCTTTTACTCTTTACTACCAAAACACTAAGAAAACTTGTTTCATAATTTTTCACTAAGAAGGAAGAGACAGATTTCTCGCATCTTTTTCTTCATTAGCTACTAACAAAGAAATTTGCAATGCTTCATTAAAATCAAGAACCCAAACTAGAAACAACTTAGAAAAATCCTGTTAGAGACTACTCTAAGTAACAGCAAAGGGAGCTTGTCACAAACTTATTTCTGCCAGAGTTACTTAACCACATGCATGCAATTTCATAAGGTGTCAAGTTGTTTTTTTGGCAAAAGGCAGAACACAGGCAAGAGAGTGGCAGTGACGGAGGGTGATGTTTGCAGTTTAATTTGACCTTCACCTTTAAATAAATGTAAGCATCAATAAAAATAAAAATTGTATTAGAGTTTGAAGCACTGAACAAACTCGTCCTAGCATTAAATAGATAAACTATGCCTTATGCATTATGATATACCTGAACATCAGCACAATACACGACGACTACTCAGGTCACTTAAATGATAGCAGCAAAATATGGTTTACACTTTTTTAACCAGTAAATTCGACACAATTTGAACTTTGTTATTGTGTCATTTTCAATTTCTAATTGAAAACAATTGTGTTTTCCAACTGAAAACAATAAATACAAAATCAAGACTACATGTTAT